TTAAAATTATTTTAATCTTAATAATTTCTTAAATGTATGAATAAAGTTGAGTTAAAAGAAATTAATGAGTACAAAATTGTTCAAGATGAGATGCGGTGATTCAGTGTATCCGTTCTTTCCCATCAACGGAGGTTATTCCTTTGTTGTGTAAAGATAAACCGAACCGTAACAAAATTATCCAACCAATAATCGCAGTGAATTTGAACTAAAAAAATGTTTAATAGCACTATATCGTAACTACCGGTAATTCAAATTAAATAATAATATATTTAATTTTTATCAACTTAATTAAAATTTGACAATGCTTTAGTTATATTAAACATTTTAGCAGGAAAAAAAAGCCAAAAACTACTAGCATTTTTCTTCTTTTTTCAATACTCTACCACCAATTACTAATGGGGCAGAGTGATATGGAGCTGGAAAGGAAATGGAACAGATTTAGGTTTGGTAAACTTAAAAATAATTATTATTATTATTATTATTGCAATTAAAAAAATTATAATTATGATTAAAATTTTAATAAAAATTTATATTAAATAAATTTTATTAAAATTAATATTTGAATTCATATTAAAATTTAATTATATTTTATTAAAAATGCAATCCCATCCAAACATAAACACAGTGAGTTGTGAAGGGAGAGTAAAGGACACAGAGAGTGGAGCAATAACAGTGGTGAAACGACGCGTCTAGCTCTTAACCAGCCGGCTGGGAACGCTAAATAACCGCCGGAGTTCAAAGTAAGTAACCAATTGAATAAAGCTACGCTGTAACGCCATTATTCTAAGCTTGGCTGCCCAACCGTGCCCGTCACGGGCTGCAATGAAACAGGGCCGACAAGCAGGCAAGTTACAGGATGGCACGTAGATACGAATCCGTCCTACGAGCTTGTCTATTGAGATTTTCAAGTCTGGTGCAAGAAAAAATTATACGAAATAGTTTCATTACATTTTTTTATTTAAATGATGTTATATAATTATATTATTAAAAAAAGTTAATAATTTATTATATATAATATTTGATGATTAAATAGTAAATATTTATTTTAATAAATTAACAAATTATTTTTTAATAATATAATTATACTATATGATTTAAATAAAAAATGCTTATTACATAATATAATTTAAATAAAAAAATATTAATGTAATATAACTGTTTCATAAAATTTTTTTCCTTATTATTTATATCATAGGTAGAGCATTAATTAATTCGAATCTAAAAGAAAGAAAATTTATGGTTACGTTATCTCTGCCTCGCGTTTTTGTTCCCTTTGGCTTCTCTTAGGCCTCGAGAAGGCATTACAGTTGATAACCTTATGAAAAACCCCTCTTTGGCAAAACAATTATGAATGTTAGCAACAAGAAGACACTGTCAGAACATATATACCTCGGATGGTTAATTCTCTCTTAAATAGGATAGAAAAGTATCCCAACTTATGTTTTCCGTTTCGTATCTTAATAATCACAAAAATCTTTAACATGACATAAAAATTTGGATTCGAATTAAGTCTTTTCATTTTCTCTTATAATAGAGCTTTTGTTTCCATTGAAACAAAAAAATAAAAAAAAATCCCCAAATATGGGTAATTTGGACCTAAATGTCTACAATTATTTAATTATATTTATAATTATATAGAATCTTTCAAATTTTATATAAAATTTATATTTATAAACAATAAATTTTATGTAATTTTTTATTATAATTAAATAATTATAAAACTATAATAAAAAATTATAGATAAAATGCATCAGAATATTTTCATATGGAAGTAATGTTTTTTCTAAATTCTAATGCTAATATAGGGAGTACTTGTTGATTAAATTGGCGTTTTAATTGTCTATCAAGATTGTGAAATTAAGCCAATTTAGATAAAGAATTAAAAACTAATATAATAATAAAGAATCATATGAAAAATATTCATATGTTAATCATTTCTTCTCTTCGCAACTTATTGTATGCTATTTTTATCAACCCTGGAAATTGTATGTCTTAATTTAAGGCTGACAAAAATAGCATAATTAACATTATTTTTGTGTCACTGCCAATCTATGTATAAAGTGATATATACAGTACTTTAATGTATACTAAAACAATTTATAATTTATAATTAATGTAAATGATAAAAAGATGAGAAGAAAATAACTTTTTCAACTATCTAAACAAGAGAAAAAATGAGATGAGTGAACACGGTTATTTAAAATTGGAAAAAATAAACAAAATAAAATATTTATAAATATTTAAATTTAATTTCTCTTTAAAATTTTTTTTAAGGAAATTAAGATACCTTTATATATTTTCGATAATCTTTATAACATTTATAGCATTTTATTATTTTTGATAACGTTCGTAGATTTTTATAATCTTTTTAGTATTTTATTATTGTTATAACTTTTATATTGTTTTTAATAATCGTTGTAATTTTTTTTTATAATTTTTTGTAGCATTTTTTCTATAACTTTTGTTATATTTTTAATAACATTCAATTATTTTTATAATCTTTGTAACGTTTTTTTAATATAATTTTTTTAATTTTTAATAACATATTAAGTATTTTTTAATATGTGTAGTATTTTTTATAATCTCTGCAATATTTTTAATAATCTTTATAATATTTCTGATAACATTTATAACATTTTTTGAAATTTTTTTATAACTTTTATAATATATTTGATAACATTTTATAGTATATTTTGATTATCTTCATGGCACTTTTGATAACTTTTGTAATATTTTTGTAATCATTATATTATTTTAAATAATCTTTATAGCATTTTTACAATATCTTTTATAATCTTTATACCATTTCTTATAATTTTTGTAAATTTTTTTATAATTTTTTCTTTTATTATCTCAATGAAAATGGATAGAATAATCCAAACTTTGTGTAGATCCATTGGGTAACGTGAATGATAATCTTTTACTCGATAAAATTTGCTTAAAATGGAAAAAAACTTTAATTCAAAAAGCTCAATATCTGTGAAGAAATCAGAAGAAATTCAAAAAATTATAGAAACTCGGTTCATGTGTTTTCAAATGAATTTCCTTGCTTAAGCTGAACTGGTGAGGATTGCAAAGAAAATTGAGACTTGTACTGAATAGTGACAAAATTTATGTTGTTGCCCAAGAAATTGATGTTAATTTTTTTAATTTCAATATTTATTTATTTTTGTTTAGTTCGAACCTAAGCTTTCATTATTTTTTAAGAATTTTTGGTTATTAACGGTTTATTTAGATGAATGAAGAGATTAATTTTAATAAAGTTAAAAATAATAATTGATGTGAAATTAAAATTAATAATAAAAAATATATACGGATAAAAAAAAGAAAGACAGTGAAATAAGAATAAAAAATGATAATTAAAAACTGAACTTAAAAAATAAAAATGAAAAACAAAATAATGCACAAAATTGAAAATAAAAGTGCAGTTGGTGAAATTCTTCTCACTAGACTTAAAAAATCTAGTGGAGGATTAGAGACAAACGTATCTCTATGATGCTCTCTAAACACCGTCATGATAGGATTGAAACTAACAAAAAGTGCAACTCGCACTGAAACGTCATGGGGATTTTTTTTTTTTTAAAATATTTATTGATATAAAAAATTTAAATATTAATGAAAAGTGATAACATTTCTTTTATGATATGGTGGTCAATATTTATTCTTAAGGTGAAAATTATCGTATGAAAATGTTTTTTCATGTTAATATAATTTAAAACTTTATCTATTATGTGTATTAATTTCAACATTAATTAATAAACACATAAATAATATTATTTTTTAAAACTAAGTATAATAATTTATAATTATTCAAACAGAATTCAATTAAGCTAACGTGTTCATTAAATTGTCAATCCATCAATCCATTGTTGTAATTCAGAATTGACACCTTTAGAACAAAAGTGAGACAAGATTGTTTTTAGAAAAAGATTTTTTTTTCATAATATTGAAATTATCTAAATACATCATACTTAGGATTGACAATGGATCAAGTCGGGACAAATTTTTGCTCATTCCAAATTTAATATAATTTTATATTCATCAAATCCGAATTTGACTCGATCTGATTTTTTTTTTTTTATATCCAAATCCAATATAGTTCGATATTGTATAAATCGTATCCAATTCGACTATAAATTAATAAAATATTATTTTTAAATATAAATATTTAAATACATAAATATATAAAAATATATAAATAAATAATTAAAAAATAATTTTTTTATAATATTGAGTCGAATTTACCTAAAACTCGAACCCGACTTAACTTCAATTTTTTCTTAGCATTATTTGACCCGACTCAAAACTTAATTTTCAAAAAAAAAATATTAATTTTATGAGATTAGATTGGGTCAGAACCCGTCAAAATCGGATTGGATTGCCAATCTTAACCATACTTACAAATTAAAATCAATAAGTTTTACTTAATTTTTTAATTTATGATAAAACATAATAGATTCTGGTATAAAAAATTATAAAGTGATATAAGACATTAATAAAGTAATTTTAAAAAATAAAAAAGCTTTTTTTTTTTTAATTGTGAATTATAGAGAAAAAATAAAAAATAATATATAAGAATGGAATAATGTTGTTTTGGAGCAAACTGAGATTATAACGTTAATGCAAAAGATGGTGAAGTGGTTAAGGAAAATGAACTTTTGACATTAATATCATGCCACTATTTTAGCACAAAGTATAATTTTTGTATGAATATAAGGTTGTGAAGAAATGTACATAATATTATTCAATTGAAGAATTTAGAATTTTTAATTTTAAAAAAATGCACATGACTAATTGTCTTTTCATGGCATTAAAAAAAAAAAGCGAAACATGGACGCCAAACATTTCTTATAGGCACTCCTCGTTCATGGATTTGTCTTTTTATTTCTCTTAAAATAGGGAAAAAAAAAGTTTCACGGTTGCCTTTCTCTTATTTTGACTGGAGCTTTTTATTCCAAGTGGTAAAATTTTGAGCGGAGCATTCAAGAGCAGTGGTAGGGTTTTGACTGAAGCGTTCTTCTGCAATGGTAGAATTTTGATTGAAGAGTATTTTTTTTTGAACGGTAACATTTTGAATGGAGCGTTCTCTTTCACCGGTAACATTTTGACCGAGCGTTAAGTTGATAGTATAATTTTGACTGGAGCGTTTTACTGTAACCGTAGAATTTTTTATTGTTCTTCTGCAACGGTAGAATTTGACTGGAGAGCGTTCTCGTCCAACGGTATAAAATTGACTGGAGCGTTTGTTGGGAAGAAATTTCCCTCTTCTCTCATCCATTTCCCACTTTCTTTCACTTCAACACTCTCCCTGGAAGCTTTCTAAAAAAGCCATTGGAAACCTAGTTACTTTTCTTCTTCGTCATGAAAGCCATCCAAAACCTACTTCAGTTACTCGGTTTCTTGCCATCGGCGTATCGCCCCTTCCACCTCCACTCCTTATTTCTCCCTCAACGAGCTCTCTTAACTCTCAAGAGAAGCTCTTCGACATCTCCGCCTAAATCCAACGCTGAGGTAAACCCTAACTTTTATTTTCTTTACGTTTGATTTCGGTTTCTCTTTTTTCAAATTCCGCTGAAACGGATGCTACTTTATTTTGCAAAAATTCACATGTCATCGATGTTTAATTGTTCATGGCTTCTTTGATTAGTCGCTCATTTTTTCTAGTTTATTTAAACGTAGATTCCGTCATTTAAGATTAGGCAATTTGCAATGTGGTTTGTGGTTCGTTTCTGCCTCTTGGGAGAGAGTCTGGTATTATGAATCAGTTCAATAGTGTAATTTGATTTGCACGAGTCGGTGAAAATAATCTGTTAGGGTTTAAGAATAACGGCTGTTTGATTTTTCTCAATTATAAACATAATTGCGCTGTAACGCCATCTAAGTGAAATGGCCCATCAAATGTTTTATGTGGTCAGCAGTGGTTTTAATGCTTTCTTAGAATGTTTGATCAGCAGTGTCTTAAATCTTGTAGTCTCGAGAACAATTTGCTTAATTTCTTTCATGTGGATTAACAACTTAATAATTCAGTACTATCTTTTTCCTCCATAGCATTTGAAGGTCACTAGTGGCGAGAACTTAAATCAGTTAGTAAATAGCAATAACCATGACATTCGAGGCATCAATGGGCTTCAACAGTTTAGTTGCTTAGAGTGGGTTCCTTTTCTTTCGCCTTGATTTTTTAATGGTTTTTTGTTGCTATGATTTTGAATCTCAAGCCAAAGACTTCCTTCATCCTCAACCACCACCTCCCCCTTTGTCCTTCTTAACTGTTTATTTTATATTTGGGATGCAGTCTGGCATTTGTGATTTACTTTTATATAGAAACCATATATAAGTGTCTGTGTTTGTGTGCTTTTGTTAATTTATGAGAATTTAATTTCATATTCTTATGATGGTTTCTTTCCCCAAAGTAAATAAATCTAGCTGAATAAGATGTTATTGTCTCAACCGCTCAATATTCTTATACATTTTCAAACAAAATATATTAACTGATACAGCTATGGTGTGTCTGGGATTTAGGTACAAATGATGAGATATTACGTCCAGATGGTTTTGAATAGATACTAAAAGATGAAACCGCAAGTGTCAGCTTTTTTGACCTTTGTCAAGTAATTTTTTGGTTCTTTCACTTCTATCTTCAGGCATTTTTGTGTAATTGAGGTCCTCAAGTTATCTTGCGATGTCATCACTTCTGTTTTTTGTATTTTTTCTTAGCCAATCCAGATCTGGTCTGAATGATCTTATGGGTTATAGTTGAACAAGTTAAATTCCATTAGTACTTTATTAGAAAAATAAAAGTATAAAAGTAAATGAATTACTAACCTATATAGTTTTCTCATCAAATAACATACTACTTCAAATTAAGATATATGTTTAAGATGCCTGTAAAAGTTATAGCTATATCAAAGGAAGATTTATGGATGTTGATTCACATCAGTAGCTAGCAAGGTATCAGTTAAAAACATGATAAGGGATGTCCAAGCTGTTCAGGTCACGAGTTGTACTGCTTGTTGGACATTGTTAAGATCTTGCAGGTTACTTTCTTCTCATGATTTAATGGACAGGTTTTAGCCAGAGGTGTTGATTGTGATATAGTGCTGCTTTCAGTAGAGAGTAAGGAATATTGGAAAGGAGCCAAACCACTTCGCTTGGGACACTTGCAACGACTTCAGGTTTTAAAAATTTTCTTTCTCTTTTTGCTGATCTTATAACTATTCTCTCAGTGCATTTTGCCATACCTCATACTTCATCATGAATCTTAAAGACAGTCCAGTTGATTAATTGCTTTGATGAAATAAGTAATTGTTCAGATTCAGCAGAGGAACTAACACATGATAAAAGAAACTTCTATGGTCTTTTGATTTTTTTTATTTGGGTCAGTAATATGACCTGCCATCAAATACCAAATGACTATAGCTGAATAATTAAAAGTCTAGGAGTAAACTAAGCATTTACTCCATGTTTCATGGTCATCTAAGGTCATAATAAGCAGTGTGTAACTGTAATGTCATTGTGAGAAGTTCCACATACCTGCCTTATCTGTGTCAGGCATGAGATATATGACATAATGCTAGATGGCATGAAGTCTTATGCTTAGGACTTCAAAAGGGTAACATAAAATTTGTTCTATTTTTCTTTTATCAACGTGACATTGACAATTCCTTGAATTTACAGTTCTGCTTTTATTACAAGGTTTTCGAACCACTTCACTTTAGTGAATTATGCTAGGGTGGTGATGCTGACTTTTTTCGTTTTCAAGTTTTTTGAGCTGTTTCTGTTGTGGGACATCCTTACTGAGGACCATTTCAGTGACAAAGGGTTATCATGTATAGAGGTTTGATTCACCCCTTCAAAGTGATAATGACAAGCATCCATTTGTTTTTGCCTCAGCCTTATTACTACTTTGATGCCTGTATCTTTTTTTTTTTTTTCCTTTCTTACCAACATGTTAAATGAATAACAGTATCAAGTTTCTTACTGATATTATATCTTCAGGTCACATCATATTGATGCGGCAATAAGTCCTGGTCAGTAGGTCATTGAAATTTATATATCTAAGCCTTGCATCATGTCTCTTTTCGAAAGGTGTTACCCATATCATTGTGATGGTCATTGTTTGGTAGATTTAAAGTAATAGTGGTGGTTGAGCAGGGAGAGTGCATTGGGGTTGCATTTCAGGTACATCTTCTGTGTCAGTTTTGCATGACTTAAAATTTGTGGATTTATGCCAAATTCTGCTATGAGATAACTCTTTTTTTAAATCATTTATTTAGTTTAGTTTAATTTTCACTTCGTTTCATAATGCCATTGAGAATGGTCAAGGACAAAATGTATACCATGCAAAAGTAAAATGCACTCCTTAAAAAATTTGTAAAAATGTCAAAGAGGCATGGTATTATTTGACAGGAGGATATAGTACTCCTTGTTCTTGCTCCCTTTCAAATTTTGGTATGCTTGTTGGGCCAATTTTTATTTTAACAACTATTACTCTTTTCATCATGGGCTCTTGCTTGCGCTATATTCAGTCCCTCTTTATCTTTCCCTCCCCCTAACTACCAAATATTATGTTTTAAAAGGAGACTTCCTTTAGGTTTACAGATCTGAGGATGCTCAACATATTGGCTATGTAATACCAACTATGGTTGTATCTTATTTTCTGAATGACTATGAGAGGAATGGGAAGTGTACAGGTAAAAATCTCTTCCTAACTTAAACAGACTTTTGGTCCTTTTTCTTTGTGTGTGTGTGAAATCTGCATTAATGATTGCATTTAAATCTGCATGCACTCTTTGATTTTGAGAGGTATTGCATTAGCTCTTCCCTCTCACGTATTGCACAGGTATATCATTGTGAATGCATAAGTTAGTTTAGGTTCAATGGTCCATGTGGTTTCCTTCGTAAGCCCTATTTGAAATATCAAATTGTTGTTTAACCATTGATTACAGTTGTTTTTGTGTGTTGCACTGTAAAACAAACTCTGTTTTGGTCAAACGGTTGTTCAGTCGATTTATTCACCATCTCATTCAAAGACATTATAATTTTTTTTTCAGAAAAAAAAATCCCATAGTTTAAAATTGTTTACGGCAGGCTAATAGAAAAATCTAGCTGTTTCTTTGGTATGCATAATTTTATGATAATGATATTTGATAGCATTACAATTTATCAATGCTTATTATTAGTATTATCTTTAATTTTTGGTGAAGATAAGTTTTGATAAATGAAGAACTGATTTGAATCTTGAGTATGGAGTAGTGGAATTATTTAGACTGAGGCAGCTATTTCGGGGTATTTAATTGGGGGCTGTGTACTTAGGGATGGCATTGGAGCCTGACCAAGCTCCAGTGAATTTTATTACTTTTTTTATGGCACTCCTCTGTTCCTGCATTGTAATTGGTAATCTTCTGGAGAAAAAAACTGATGGTTTAATGAGTCGATAACTGTGCTTGCCATTTTGAGTTGTTCAAATCACTCCTTACTTAATAACCTCTAAGGTCTGGAATAATGCAGGTTAATAAGTCTTTGTTTTGGTTGTTTTAAAATAATTTTGTGTGGTGATCATTTTGGGGGTAATTGCAGGTCTTATTATTTATTCTGTTTACCACTGAAGGAAACAGTTCACACGTTCTAGTATTTAATGAGGAGCTTTTCTTTATATATCTTCTTCCTCCTATCATATTCCATGCTGGACTAGTCTGACTTATGTGAAATTATCAAATCTTTGCTTTTTGTTGCCCTCAACATATCGATTGTTGATATTACAACTATCATTTGAATATGATGCATCATATTCCCCTTTTTTTAGAGGTTAAAAGAATCTTGAGGTGTTTCATAATCATATTACAACTATCAATTGTCAGGCTTGTTTTTACTTTTTATTCAGTTTTATTTGCTACTTTCTTTCTTGAAAACTGAAGTTCCTCCGGCCTTTTTTTAATCTTTTTATTGTTGGAATGATGTGTTTCATAATCTGGTCTTTTTTAATCCACCAGATTCCTGGTCAACAGGAAGCAATTTTTCCATAACTTTGTGATGATCACTTTGTTTGGTGCTGTCGATAATTTGATGTCGTTTGTTATCATATCTATTGGTATATCCGAACTTTTAAAATATTTTAGTTTTTAAGGAAGACTCTTTAGTTTTTGTTCAATTTCATGCATTTGTAAATACAATGTGGCCGTATTTAAGCCTCAGCTTCATCTGATTGACTATTTTTGCTTTTTGCTTGTTGCATGTATTTGCACGCATCTATTTATACTGTTTATACATAATATGTTCAAGGTTTTGGATTCAAAGTTTGTTTCTGACTAGGAAACTTGTAATGCTGCTACTACTAAAGCTACTCCAAAATTTTGACTAAACAAAAAAAAATTTATCTAAAGCTTAAATCAGACCTTATATTTGATGGATATATTTTTCTTTAAGGGAGGATTATCATTATGAAAAATTTAGTAGTTCATTCTTCAGGCTGATCACCTTGAAAGCATATTAAGTATAACAAGCCTCCAAATGAAGTTGAGGATTATAACTTCTCTGGCATTTTTATACACATTGTTAGATGTCTTGCATTATCCCTAGGAATATCACATGTTTGATGCTCTCTAGTTGTTCATAAGATAATGTTCAATTAAATGAACTAAGGCTTTTTTATAGAACACTGCCTCTATAAATTCCATTGCTTGTTTAAGTTTATAATCAGCAACTCAGCATGACACACTCCTTGTTAGAAATGAGGGCCGGTTCAAAAAAAAGATTGACTGTAGTAATTGCGAGTTCCTAGGATTGTAAATACTACCTTTTGGTAGCCAATTTTTATCTTTTCCCTTATATCAGGCAAGAGTGTTTTTTAGGCTAATAGTGTTGTAACTTTTAGGCAAAAGAGTAAAAAGAACCCCTGAAATAAAATTCAATAATCATCCAAATCCCTATCTCTTTTTGCAATCAATTAAACCTTCAAACATCTATTTTCACCAATTTAGCCTTTGTTAGAGGAAAAATAGTGAACTATTGAAATTTTGTTTGAGGACTTTTTTGACCTTTTAGCCTAACTTTTATAATTGTCTGTTGTCTCAGGTACCGTGCAATTATTTAAGAACTTGGATATTGGTTTCCTTGACATTGGAGATGTATCTTGGTAATGTCTGCATCTTTAATTAAAGTTTGCTAATGTTTCTTTAAAGCTTACTTTCAACTGATATGCAGTTGCATGTAGGAAGATATCATTTAAATTTGGGTCAAATTATTCATCCTTGCATTATGAAGTAGCTTTCAATATGAAGCCCAGGAACAAATGATTCTTAATTCCTTTCCAAGTATTTTTGGCTGTTTGAGATAAGAAACATGCATATATTTTATTTATGTATCTAACATAACATCAATTTCACTTGCAGGTTGGACTAATAAGTGCATACATCATAAAGAAATTCTACATTGGCAGGTACAGGCAAATGATTAACAATTCTTGCTGTCTCATCACTTCATTGTGTTAAAATGAAAATGCATGCAACCTTTAGTCGGTAGATTAGTTCAGCTCTATGTTAGAGTGCTTCAATGTGTGTATTGGAGTTCCACAACTCTCTTGGTAGGCATTTTCTGTTTAGAGCTTTAACAAGCTCTAATAAAAGTTTGCTTGTCAAATGTTTGCAAATTTATGAATGTCAGCAATTGTCTAGAATTGGAAACCTATTGACAAAAGTCACCAATCTAGAATTTCACATAATGGATTATTAATTAACTCATAGATGATAAATTTAGGTTATACTTGCTTTATTATGATGTTAGGCAGAGCTCATGATGGCTCAAAAACTAAGAAATCTTACCACAATGCTACCCTCTTAGAACTCTCATCACAATCTGTTGTTCTCTCTCTCCGCTTCTCACTCAATGGCTTGCTGTGTCATCTAATCTTTCTGCATGGCATGAGAATCGTAAAGCTCTATACAAATAACATTTCCTTTTCATTTTAAAATAAGTAGCTAATGTTCTTCCAAATTTCAGGCATTCTACTGATCATGAAGTTGCTTTCATGACTCTCATGGCTGCCTTTCATATATGATGGCTGAAGTAAGGATCTAGCTTTGTAATATTTCAGGTACTGTCTTTACATTGCATGTCATATCCCTATTTTCTTGATAACGGTGTTGGCAATTGTATTCTGTTTTTCAGTTGTTCAATTTGAGCAGCATTCTTACAGTGTTCTTTTGTGGGTTTGTTATGTCACATTACACCTGGCATAATGTGACTGAAAGTTCAAGAATCACCAAAGTATGGTACTTTGAAATTGACTTCCCAATTGTTGAAAGTTCTCTGTTTTTATCTTCATTCTCTTTTATTTATTTATTTTATTTATTTAGTTACCTCTTGTCAAACCCAAATAAACATGTTTTGACATTCTTGTGCTGATTATTTGATCATTGCAGGCATGCTTTTGCAACATATCTTTCATATCAGAGATTTTCATCTTTCTGTATGTTGGTATGGATGCTTTGGATATTGAGAAGTGGAAAGTTGTTAGGAAAAGGTACTGCCTATATTTTTGGCCAAAGGCATTTGCATTAGATCTTGTCTTGCTGCGTCTTACCCTGTTGCATATGTAATTTTAACATATTGACTCTTTTTACCCTCGTTTTCAACCATCTCAAGAAATTTATTGTCTCTTGTCAAGTAATGTAGTATAATGTAGTATGTGTATCAGTTATCATTGTGTTTGTAATTTCAATATCAAATCAATGTCTCTCAGTAGCCATTTTTCATTTGGATATTTCGTGTGTTTTTGTAGTCCTCGAACATCTGCCGTGGTGAGCTCGATACTGCTTGGTTTGGTTCTACTTGGACGGCCAGCTTCTGTTTTCCTCTATCCTTTATATCCAATTTAATTAGAAGGTCTCAGAGTGACAAATTTACATTGAAGCAACGGGTTGGTGTTGAGAGTTATGTTTTGAGTTTTCCTTCCCTCTGACACACTTGATGCACTTAGGTGGGCAGGGCTCATGCGAGGTTCTGTGTCCGTGGCGCTTAGGTCGTTCGATTAATGATATCAACACTTCTGCAGTTTGATGGACTTTATTGTCCAAAAGTTGGTGAACATATTTCAATGAGTGTCTTTGGCATCAGTATAAGACAATAGTTGTAAGAACTTTCATCTTCTCAACACGAATTGGCTGGAATTGTTTGCCTCGAGAGAGGAGATAAAATGCTTACGGTGTTAGGGCAAAAATATAGCTAAATTTTGGTATCTAAGTGCCTGACCAAATAATGATGCGTATTAAGAGGAATCTGTACCAAAAATTTGTGAGTTTTTTGGTCAACCACTGTGCATGCAGACATTCTTTTCTGTGTAAAGGATACCATCCTTTTCCCATCGAGGAACTCGCTCAGGCCACGTTAAAGCCTGCTCGCGTGGTACTCGCATCTCTCTCGAATAACAGAGAAAGTGATTATTCATAATGATGGCTTGAAGCAGCACAACCTCGGTTTGGTTAAAACGGTTTATATCGTGCCTCCATCTTGTTACATATTCGACACATGCATTCAAATATAGATGCATGCATATGTACATAGGCACAAAGTCACAATTCACAAAAATGTGTTTTACTTGGAAGAATTTTTTATTCCTCTCGAGTAATACTATATAACACAAAAAATTCATTTTTTAATCATTGAACAGTCAACATAATTCATATGGTTATTGTGAGGTTTGAGCAGCAAAATCTTGAACCGTGCAGACATGGCAAGTAATTTCCAGAATTTGGTAGCTATAAAAGTTGTAGTAACATACATTGCCTTTTTACTCCAATACCATGACATGTTCAAGACAAGGGCATATATGTATGTATATATTCCTTCTTTCTAGTTCTAGGGACCTGAAATGAAGGAAAATTTCAATCGTTACAAATAAATTATACTTGGTATATGATTCCTCGTTCAATGGAATGATTCCATTACAGAAGTGAGTTGATATCATTGGCTATGTTCTCCGCATCAGCGCTAGCCCCATACAATCCTCTTCTCGACAATCCAACGCAGTACAAACCATTCTTTCCCTTCCAATGGTTTGGGAAACTCGGTTTAGGAATTCCATCATCATTCAGCAGGTAATCATCTCCCTGCCTCAAAACAGTAAACTTGTTTTAGTTAAACAAGGCAATGTTCAATAATTCTTCTAAGGATGCAATATTATGATTTTAAACTTGTTGATTTTGATTTTAACTGTTAATGCTGTCCTTCTTCTTGGTATATAATAACATTGTTTGTTTTCTCTCCTTTGAAAAGGCAAAACTAATATCATGTTATACCTCAAGCCAGATATTTGTGGACCGCTTGAAGCCAGTGCATAAGACAATTGCGTCAAAGGAATGTGTTTTGCCGTTCTCGAACACCACCTCGTTGTCTCTTATACTCGATATAGCTGGCAATACCTGCAGCGGATTATGTATATTTATATATGTTAACGCCCATTAACAAATTTAACATCCAATTGATTCGGACTTCAAAGAGGAAAATTAAGAAAAGTAAAAAAAGGAGGTTTGGGGGCGAAGGGTTTTTCTCTTTTTGTTGGCTTATTATTTCAAAAAAAAAAATCCTTCAATTCAGGCCCAATATTCTTCTACAGACGGACCCATGCCACATTTACATCAATGGTTGATTTCCCCAACCAGGAAATTTGTAAGGAAAAAAATTTGAAAAGCAGAAGAGTTTCTTTGGTTTTTAAGCAAATTGAGACTGCATTTCCTGACACGACAGAGGCAGACGTCAAGTCAACTCATGGTTCACCAAATTCTTGTTGGTTCAAGTTGTTACCATCAACTCCTCATTTTTTCAATTACCAAGGGAGGAAGCAATTGAAGTCAATCTCCAATCCTTCAAACGTGGCACCAATTTCTTCTAGCCAATTAATCCGCTATAATTAATGACAATGAACTGAATGACTACCTTGACGGCTAATGTCAATGTCCTACTCTTTCTTCGGAATAAAAAGAAACGTTTAAGAAACATTTTTTGTTTATAAAATATATTATTATTTTCAGTTAGTAGTACAAGAAAAGAGAAAAAAGAAAGGAAAATTGTATATTTAAGTACTATATTCCTTGAAAAAATCAAATGTTACCTGAATCTTCCGGGACTTGATCTTGTTATGGGTTCCTACATCAAAAACAGGGTACTTGCCATAGGCAACTTTCATGAAAAATGGACCCTGCTTAGGTCTGGTAATTCCATACTTGGTCAAGTCCCCGTAAACAAGCTTGCTGAGCATGACCATCAACGAGTCCACCATGTTAACTGGAATATACTTCAAAAGAATTAACCCCAAGTACACCATCCCCTTGGAAAGAATGTGAACCTGTAGCACCATATCCCACATATAAAATATGTAAAGAAAGGCAGACTTTGGAATTTGGATTCTCTCCAATACGTCAGAGAGTCAAGTTTGATTCGAAATTAACCAAATTAATGAAGAGAAAATTATCAGATCAAAATTAAACGAGGTAAGTATCTTTTTACCGGGCTGCGCACAACTATAGATGTTTTGGCACCGTGATTTGCCAGGTCCAGTGCGATCTCCATGCCAGAATTGCCTGATCCAACAACCAAAACATTATGATCTCTAAAAGCCTTGCCATTTCTGAACTGGGTTGAATGGAGAACATTTCCAGGGAATGTATTCAATCCTTCAATCTCAGGTTTATAAGGGTTGCTTGTTTCTCCACTAGCGACGGCCAAAAACCTCCCTGTGAACTCCTCAACCTCACCAGAACTCAAGTTCCTGGCCTTAACAATCCATTTCTTGCTTGCTTCATCGAACTTGGCCAACACGACGCATCTCCGGTACAAAGGACTGATCTCAAAATAAGAAACGTAATCATCCAAGTAGCTTATGAATTGTTCTTTGGAGATAAATCTTGGATAAGAGTCGGGAAATGGCATATGAGGAAGCACACAGAATTGCTTGTCTAAGTGAAGGTGGAGGCGATCATAGGCATATTTCTTCCAAAGAGAAGCAAAACAATCTTCTCTTTCAAGGATTATGTAAGGGATTGATTGTAGTTTAAGGCAGGCCGCCGTGGCCAGGCCAGAGGGGCCGGCCCCGACGATAATGACCGGTTGTTCTTGCATCGCTGGAGTCACTGGTTCTCTTAGTTTGGTAGTGCCAAAATGATAAGCAAAATGGCTCTCAGATCAGGGCATGGAAACAGAGATGTGGGGTTAGTTTTATACCATCGTATTAAGTCATAATATTAGACAAATACTTAATTATAACTAGTTGCTTACACTTGAGGTATCTTTCGGTTACTAACTCTACAAATTAAATAGATCATAAAAAAAGATTTAGAAAATATATAAATAAATAAATGTAAGTTCTCGATATGAACTTTCTTAAACCAGTTGAAATTTTCTATCAAGAGCTTCGTTGGATTCTTGTTAGATTCAATTCTTAAATGCTAAAAGATCCAAAACAAAAAATATATATAAGATTAAAGATTTATATTTAATGCATTGTTAGCATATAAATTTTATATACTATCAGTGAATGAGATGATGATATCTTATTAATAAAATAAATCAGATGATATCGTTTCATTAATAATTAAATTTTTTAAAAAATATTAATTTTTATATATTTATTTTAGAAATTAATATTTATTCATTAATAAGATGACATATAAAATTTATACATTGACAATATATCAATTATAAATTCTAAGATTAATTAAAATATAATTTTTTCCTTTCTTTAATTTGATATATTTATGTATTAGTGACTTGTCATTTGCTGCTTTAAATTGAGTTGAGTTGTCACCTTAATTAAATACATTTATTTCTTATTTAAAATATACATCTATTTTTGTATTTTATTTTTAGGCAATAACTAAATCTTTATGCTTTTTGGTTTCTGAAATTTTAACCCTTATTTATTTGTTTATTTCAATATATGCCATCAAGGCTTATGGTGTTTAGTTTTAAATAAAAAGAAAATTAATTAAACCACCTGCTGGTATATATAAATATATAAGATGTACACACAAAAAATTTCAATATTTTAATAATAATAATTTTTTATTTACACATATAGAAAATGCATAATTTATATCTCGAATATGGACACTGCCTACCTAGTTGATAATTAATTTTGGCAACAAGAATTAGCTAGAAAGAAATTTAATCCATTATTATTCCTATTAAATTCATTTAATTTAGATAGATACACTTAGCTTGTTACTGCTTTGAAAATTGTGGTTGCGTCTCTATCAACCGTCCCCCTTCATTAATCACCAAAAATTTTAAAATAATAATAATAATAATAATAAATATTAGTAAATAATTTTCTGGTAATTCGTGAATTTCAAAACTTATCCCAATTTTCATATATATATATATATAAAAGTAAAAAAAAAAAAAATCTTTTAGAATGCCAAAGGTGACATTACTTGACGTGCAATTCAGGCTTATATATGCATCTGCCAAATTGACAAATTAGATCATATAATTACATATATAGCATGCAGAACCAGTTATGTTAAGGTTTGTGGGGTTTGATTGAAAATGATGATTCAAAAAAGAAAAAACAAAAACCCAAGCCCCTGCCCCTGCCCCTGCCCCCGTACTATTTGAAATTATCAAATATGTTACAGTATATTTATTTAATTAGTTAGGTCCCGTTAGAGAGTTGACAGTTTAATCTGAAATTGATAGATTTTGATCCGATATAATTTTATATGATCGATTTTTTTTTAAATCAAGTTTCTAATCGGATCGTGTCAAATATTGTTAAGAAAAAAATCGTGGTCGGGTCGGATTCGGGTTATAGGCAAACTCGACCCGATCCAACCCGAATCCGATATTATATAAAAAAATTATTTTTTAATTATTTATTTATATATTTATATATTAAAAATAATATTTTATATTTTAAAAAATAATACTTTATTAATTTTAGAACGAATCAGATCAGATACAATTATATAATATCGAATTTAAATTGAATTCGTATATAAAAAAAAAAAATCAAATCAAATTCGAGTCCAAATTTTATAATTATAAAAATCAAATCGGGTATGAAAAAAACAAAAACCCCTATTCGAGGAGAGCAAAAACCCGTCCTCATTCAACTGGTTGACAATTCTGTCCCTCATCGTACAAATCCTATAGATGGATAAAAATTAAGCTAAGGTTTTAATTATTTTGATTGCAAACACAAATCTATCATTTACCATTGCTTATGAGACTATATACATGCATTGTTTGAATTACTGCTTTTCCACCTATCACTTGTCACGACTACTACGTGGATGATAAACTCAACTTTACGTCTATTCTGTTTAGGTTATTTAAAATGATATTTGTATTTAACAACGAAAATGATATTTTAGGTGCAAATTAAGCGATGTATATACAGTAATGCAAGAGTATTATGTTGTTGCAATCCATGATTTTTTTTTTTTTGTTTTTTTCTGTGATAACAAGTGAATTCGAAATTTTTAATTTTAAAATCAATTTTCATATTATTGAGTTAATAATTTATCAGTGGTTACTTTTGTATTCTATTAAACTAGGTTAAAAAAGGTAAATCCTAACTAAAATTTTTAAGTTTATGGAATTAATTAAGTTGTGATAAGAATTGATAGTATATATTTTATTTGTTGTTATAATGAGGTGTTTTTAATGGTTAGAAATATGAAAACTTGAACATTGAGAAGAGGATGGAGTAATAAAACTTTTTTTTAAGATGAAAAAAGAAAAAAAATCATTATTTATTTCAAATTAATTCCATTTGGATAATGATTAAAAAAAAATGATGAAAATGCAGGTTAATGCCCAAATTTCTAGCATTGCATTGTTTTTGGAAAACGCAAACTTTCTGACATTTCAGTAATAGTAGTAGCACAGCTGAATTTTCTCCAAGGTTTGATAATGGTGTTCCAGCGACAGCATTAATGATTGATGTATATGTACACTAAAATATGCATGCAGTGACAACGAAAAAAGAAGGAAAAAAATGTAAGTTCTAAAATTTGAAATTTAGAGTTTACGGCGAAACATCAGTTGCAAGCTATGTGTGAAATGATTTGAGGATTAAGTTGACATTGAAGTTTGCAAAAATTCACGAGATAATTGAAGAGCCCTCTGTTGAAAAGAAAGTGGGGGGTTTGGAGTGGAAGGGAAGCAAGAAAATCTTTACATTTTTATCTGTCTCCTTCTGGTTATTAAAATCAACTTTTTTTTTTTCATGGTCTGGTCTATCTTGCTAGCTACTTTCCAAACAACTGAAAATCCAAAGTCAATCTAATGTTTCTCGTGGGTCTGGAAGTCATACATGAAGGAGTGCAATCCTAGCAAGACTCTAATAAAGGTCTCAGCTCTCTGAAACAAATGCAGTTATCTTTTTCTGTCCAGGACAAAAGCCAAAAAGGATTATTGCAGCTTTTTTCCGGAGCAATTCACTACACTCCATTCCCCTTGTTCATTTTAAGAAATCATCATTTCCCTTTTCTTTTTGGTTTGTGCTTTGTGGGAATTAAGTCATGAACATGTAGGAGATCTGATATTGGTCATGAAATATGTAATCTCATTGCAAAAAAAAGAGAGGAAAAAGTTGTTTGTTCACATGCCTGGCAATGATCCTTTTTGATTCAATGAATTCAGGATTTGGGTATGATTTTGGGCAAGCATGTTACAATTTTTCTCCCAACAAGAACCCATTTTGCATTTCCTTGTGGGTTTCTTTCGTTTGCTAATCTGATAATTCTTACGTTCATATTTTACTTCAATGCGTATCTAGTTTGATCTCATGTGATAGGTTGACAAAGGAGGAACTAGATTCCAAGTTCTTCAATACATTGTGCTCCTTCCTTGAAAACCAATCAGAAGAAGAATATTCTTGACAAGGAGGATTGCATGATAATCTCCTTCATTATATCTTAGCCAACTAGGTTCACTTGCTCACAGTTTTCAAACTTATCAACAAGACTTAATTGGCTCCGAGACAAAGGAGATAGAGACTGATTGAAGGCGTTGTTATAAAAAGTCGACATAAAAGCCAGGCCATGAAGATCTTTTAGAAGATTGTGCACATGTTTTTGCATTAGCCTTCCCTTTTTTGATTGAGCTGGACCTAGCCACTATCTTTAATCATAATTAAATTAAAAGGTTAACGATGGTCTAACGAGGGTCATTGCTGTTCGAGAATAATTTGGTTTGAAGAGTGGGACAAAAACTTAAGATTAGTTTAGCCAACCCCCGGAATAGCAGGATCATGACCCCCATGTTCTTCAAACTTGAACTGACAATCAAACGGGGGAAAGACAAATCTCAACAACATTAACAAACTTATACATATGGATCTTACCTTTATGGTCACAACGCAAAGCCATATAACTGGATCTTAAAAATTGACACAAAGAAATCATAAATTTGGTCATCTCATTCATTTTGCAACTGATCTTTGTTTTTCATTTAAATTTGAATATGTTGAAATCGTCAGGCAATTATTGCGTACTCTTAGATGTCAATTTGTGCTATAATTCGTTCACCAATATTAGAAAAATTACAAAGCATCACATCAATTTTCTTAAAAAAAAAAAAGAAAATAACTCTTATGTCAAAGTGAATAGTAAGAAAATTCACAATACGTGTACAACGTACCTTAATTTAAGAATGTATTAGTTGAGTTACGATATAACAAGTATTAGTAGAAAGTTTACTTGTATAACATAAATCTGACATTAACCATGTATGAAATTCAAACGGCCAGTGATTTTTTAATCGTCAAATGGCTTAAGATAGCCTGTTTTGTAACCACAAACAATTTGATAATGGTGTCCATATATTGCCATTAGCCATGTTAGGACTAATCCGTTTTCTGCCCTTGTTCCGGATTAATGATAATAGTGTTTCGTCCTCACGAACTAAAGGCACGAACATACCACGTAGAGCAAAAGAAATTACGTATGGATATCGTTGTCCATAAAAAAAAAAAAAAAAAGAAAGTGGGGTTGGGGGGCAGAGAGGTTTGGACCTTCTATTTTGCCTCAGTCAATTAGCCGAAGGAATTTTTTTTTTTTTTTACCATGAACTTTGACAACAAGTTCAAGCCCGATGATGTAGGCACTAAGATTCTCATGGTCCATAGCTGTAACACTTGGGTTTTTCTCTTTGCGGGCAGCTTTTGGCCATTTTGTTCTGTTTTCTTATTATTTGTATCCAACTGATATGTGGACTCTAGCCTGGTAGCCAGCCTAGTAGGAGGTTTTATAGGTTTTAGCTTTGGTTTTAGGGTTTAGACTAAAGTTTTCATTTGGGTACTAAGGAGACAAAATTGTTGAACAGTCCAAAAGCTAGAGGACATAATTAGCTTAAGACACAAACTGTTACTGTCAATTTCGTCAAATGGTATTCTCAACCAATCAAAAGATTTTTCAAGCTTATTATATATCTAAATTTAGATTTGTTGATTTCATGATGATAAATTTGCAATCTCATTTCACCAATAACAAGGGTAATTTTTTTTTCACATTTCACATTTTCAAAGTTAACCATACTTAATTGCATCACAAATTTCGCAGTTCTTTCTTTTTTTTTTAAATTCTATTTAATTGAAGCAAGCTATATGCTTATATTCCGAATTATATACTTATACACGGAAAAAAAAGTTCAAAATTTTGTCTTTCCCATAAAATGAACCTTGTTTTTTCCTCTTTTTTTTTTTTTCTTCTCTCTGTTTAAATTCACATAACAAAAACCACTTTCACTGACTTTTTTTTTTATTTTTTTTAATTTTTCCCCCAAATTTATTAAGCCTAAAATGAAACTTTAAGCAACAGAAAAATGTGGCACTTTTCCAAAACCAGGCATTACTCAGACCAATTATAATGTAGGATGTTTTCTACTCCATTGTCCTGACTCAAAGTGTTGTAGAAACTGACAGCAAGAATGTCACGGACGTCGAAAAATAGCATAAAACAATCAAAGAAAAAGGATAAAAGACACCCGATCGTCATGTGCTCCACAAGAAAATTACATATCCACATTGTCTTGTAGCCAATCTGCGGAGCTGTATTTTACCATCCAAGTTGCCAACCACAACATTCTTTTGACATACACCTTCTCTCTCTCTCTCTCTCTAAGTCCCCACCAGCGCTTCCTCAGCATAAAACTATTAAGCCTTAATCATGAATCTCAATTCTTCTCATAGTTCTCTCTCCCTCTCTCTCTCTCAGTGCATTCATTAATTGAAGTTTCATAATTAGAGAATTGATACCAATTCAATCATTCAATGGCTTCCCATTTGTTACCCGGGGGAATATTGTTCATGGTCTTCATGGCTTATTTTTCTTCACTAGCCTTATCTTCATCTCAGGTACATGTACTATACTCCACCATATCAGCTGCACCTGCATACTTGCCAAGTGCTCCTCTAGTATCTTCTCCTAGTTTACCCCCAGATATTCAACCTTTGTTCCCTACTCCTAAAGGTATGGCACCTTCTCCAACTGATTCATCACTGCCTACAATCCCTTCAAGCCCCAGCCCCCCAAATCCTGATAATATTTTGCCTCCTGCTCCTGGTTTTGCACTTTCACCTTCTGCCTCTTTGCCAGCATCCAATTCAGTTTCTCTAACTTCAGGCGGAGCTCTAAAACCAACATTGTTTCTTGGTTTGCTGGTATTTTGCTTATTGCAGCAGTTTTCTGGCGTGTGAGGTATTCTTGGTAGCAGCAGCTTTTTTATGTTTTTTTTTTTTTATATATTGCTTGATGTAAGGTAAATGAAGTGTATGGCATTGTTGCGAGCTGTGATTAGATAATAATGTCATATATATAAATACATGACAAAACGGTACATATTGCTTGGGAAATTTCTCTATCTAGTGATTTGTGTATGTGGATTTGGTCGTACGCTGGCTTTAACTGTTCTCGTTTCTTAATCTAAAACTCTAAATCACTAGAAATGTAGCATAAAGATTTTTGGGTCACCAATAGGAGCTCTGTTTTGGTACAAAGTGCTTATATAATTAGCAAAAAGACTACATTAAGTTGAACTTTTGTCAGGTCAAGGAAAAGAAGAATAAAATTCGAACAAACGAATAGCAAAAACAGATCACTTTCTCAAACACATATTAACTAAGTTGAGTTCAAAGGGGAGGATTCCCCCACATCCTTCCATGTACAACAACTACTTCTAATCTGAAATGCTGTGTATATAGACGCTACTAGTTGCCTGAATGTTATGTAACCTAACTAAAACCACAAAGCAACAATACTAGCACGAGACTTCTGAGATCCGTTAAATAACATCCCCCAAAGTCCTCCCTTTAATTTGCCGAATTCAACGGGACTCCATTTCCTTGAGGATTCATTTACAACACTCTTCTTGAGCTCCATATTCTCATCCTTGAGCACTTGGACAGCCAAACTCAGTTGTCTGATCACCTCTCTCTTCTCTTCATCTTTTTGCATTAATTGAACCTTCTGAATGTTGTTCTCTTCCTTAAGTTTCTCTACTTCTTCCTTTAACTTCATCACTTCATCATCACAGACCTCAACCTCACTTGAAACTTTTTCTGTTACTTCTTTGTCAAGTAGGGGTCCATCTTCCTTGTCAACATCTCCTTTTATTACTATATCTAATTCGTATTTGTCTTCCGGCTCAGGATCCTCAACTTCTTCCTCAGGTTCAACTTCATGTTCAGGGTCCTCAACTTCAGATTCAGCATAGTCTTCAGAATCAAAAGTCTCGGAGCAGCTATCATAGGTTTTTTCAGTCACATTTATTGTCTTCTCTGAGCGGTACTTCATGGAAGAAAAAGGGGATCCCAATGTTGTAACGAGGCGAGTTCGAGGGTCTGACTTAACTTGATCATATCGCTCAGCTAGTGATCGGTGGGCTCGGTAGAAATCTCCAATCAAGCTAATCAGCTCAGGCCGTTTCTTGTAATACATTTCTGCACGTTGAGCAAAGGAATCTGCATCTTCCTCGATCAGCTTTAGCATTTCCTTTGTCTTCTTGTCCAGCTCTGCCCTTGATATAAACCATTCCATCATTTAAGCAAATGGAAAGAACAAACAAAGCATGCTAAAAGCAATTCATTTTCAGGAAGTTCAAAAGTGTTCAATATTACTGTTTCTCTCTGGTAATCTCCTACATGGAAAACATAATTTTCTGTTTGTTCAATCAAGCAATGATCTTAAATGGCAAGTATATACAAAGAGAGGGAGAAAAGAGAAAGCAGAAAGAAATGCTGCTTAGAAAAGAAAGAAATAAGTGCTGATTAAAATATGAGCACACGGTCCTACCCGCTTTTTCACTTCTTACAGAACCTATATTTTGTTCTTTAGAATCATCCTTTTGTAATTAACCTGATTGCAATGGGTTCAATTCATTATTAGTTCATAAGAGATTTGCTTTGAGAGGCCTAATGACTTGAGCTGCAAAGGTACTCCTAAAAGTTAGTTGGAAAGAGGAAAAAGAGGGAAAATAACAGAGCTTGGTGGGATTTCAATTTCGGGGCCCTATACATTGAGGGCCACCCATATGTACACACCAAAGCTTGTCAGATCTCAGACCACAGAAATTAGAACAACCCTTCAAACCAAGGTCATGAAGCCCCTCAAAACAGGAACCACAGGCCACTCATTCGAGTACCAGCACATCATGTCTTTGGACCTACACCATCACCACATCTTTGGCTAAAGGTCAGAGTCTAGTACCAAGCAATTCCAGGTTGTTAGCCAGTCCAATACCAAGCAATGTCAGGTCTCTAATTTCAAAAGTTGTATCATGAATCCTAGAACTAGACTCAACCCTAGCTTCTGTTGAAATTTTGAAAGAGATATAGGATTATGTGTACAGCAAGAATACCGGGTATTGTCTACCCCATATTGTACTCCTAGAGTGAAAATAAAAGTGTCTCACATTAAAATAACGACATCTCAGGTTTCCATTAAGTCTACTGATGTCCCAGAATTTTTTTTTTTTTTTTAAAGGGCTTTACTGGTGGAACCTTCTGTTTCCCACATATAGTGACTAATTAATCAAAAAACATAAGGCCCTACCAATCGGCCATCTTGCAGTCACCAAAACCTTCTTTAGAATTACTTAGTAATGTATGTTAAGTACTATTATTAGTACAAATTAATTTGTTGTTCCCAGTCCTCACCTTTTCCATCCAACTCTCATGAATCCATTGCAGTCCCACCACATTAATATCTTATTTTTATCTGAGAAAAAAGTGATCTACCACCTCAAGGTTAACAAACAGTCTTCTCACTATTTCATTTCGCTTATAAGTCAAACTTTTTTACACGCCTATAAAGTGACACTGTAGAAAAAGCAATTAAAAAAACTGAAATATTCAAAAAAGAAAAAAAAGCACATGCCTCCCCAACGGTCAAGAAACAAGAAACATCAAGAAAGCTTCAATAATAAAGAAACCTTGTATTTCCAACTGCTAGCAACAAATGCAGGTGTTATAGCACAAAAAGAAAAAGAAAAAGAATATCTGAGATAGTAAAGTAGAAAGTAAGATGGGTTTTACCAGAAAGAGTGGATTGAAGCCATGGAGAGCGCTTTGAGCCGTTGTGATGACTATCAAACCACCACCACCGTGATGTTTCCATCTTGTTCATCATTTCCACCATCTCTCTCGTCTCCTCTTTAACTTAACATAAAAAAAAAAAAAAAAACCAAAGGTCAAAACTTAAAAAGTTGAAACTAACGCCTAACAGACAGTTTCTCAAAGAGAGAAGCGTCAGATTTTACAGTAAAGAATGACAAAAATGAACGGATAAGAAAAAAAACTACCCCTCCTTATGCTTGTAAAGGCGACAAAACAAGGAATAGTGTAGGCACGAAAACGAGAATAAAAAGGCTAATATAGTCAATTTAGACATAAAAAAAAGGCGGAAATTTCAACATTCAAACCTGTCTGTCATACACTAAAACCAACTTAACACTAAAAATTTACCAACACATAGAAAATTAAAGACAGAAAAGATTTATATGGAAAGAAATCTTCTGCTTCAATCTACTGGACCCTTACAGAATTCGGTTTGGATTGTTAAAGTCTTATTCCCACCAATAAAATACAATCACTTTTAATATGGGAGAGACCTCACTGTAAACTGACTTCCATTACTGGACAGAGTTTTAACTTCCAAGTTCACTAAACCAAAAAGGAAAGAGAAAGAGAAAAGAGAACCCTTTCTATGCTGCTACTCAAAGATCAAAGAAGAAGGGTTGCTGCAAATAGATGCATATAGAAGGTAAAGAGTTAGAAGAAGGCTACCCAGAAAAAGACTTATTGGTTGTCAGGTTGAGAGAAAACGAGAGGGAGCGTTCCTCTTTTGTCTTGCTCTCTTTCCTGCTTTCACTCAGGACTCTGACTACTGATAAAACTGAGAGATTGACATTGAAGACATATATAGTTTTAAATACGATTTCCAATCACTTTTCACCACGTGTTAAAGGCCGAAGATTTCGCATGCTCCAATGCCGTGGGAAAAAAAATGATTAATTGAAAATCACTTAATTCCTTTCAATTGGGCTTTTCCCTCTTCACCAAAGTGTCCTCCATTTGCATCTGCCGCCCCCACCCAAAATTTTTAAATTGTTCTTTCTTTATACAATTAATAATCACAAGTTTAATTAAACTTGTGGAACTCGGCAAAGTCTATTTGGGTAAGTTTTGTTGGGTGGGGGTGGAGTCTCAGGGTTGGGGGCAAAGTCTATAATTTGGCTGTTTTTCAGAAAATTAAATTGAATTGGATTGGGTTGTTGAAGATGGACATCATGTGGAGCGTACCCTGGGTTTATAAATAAAGCAGAAATTTTCGATTAACGGTCGAAAATATCAGAGACAGAAGCCAGAACCTCCCAATTCTGATTCATGAATGAAGCCAAAAGTGGTTACTTAAATAATAAAGAGATTCTCCCTTGACAACTGGTCGTCTCGCATGAAAGAAATATTAAATATTTAATGCCATACTTTGTTGAGAATTAGGACAAATTAAATGCCAAATATCAACATCTGGATCTTAATGGAGCAAAGTGTTTCACAAACCCACTTCAGAATTCTTCGTCCTCCACCTACACTGCTGTTACTGACAGCCATTAAGAAAAAAATCTTAACCTTTCGATATTCTTACTCTTGCTCAACAAAAATGGGAAAAAAAAATCATAGAATAGTCATTAGCAAAGCAATTCTCAAAAGTGTTTTACAAGTACGCGACTTGTACTCTAGGAGAATGTTTGATTTGAGATAATTTATTTAAAAAGTTATGATAATTTTTATTCAATAATTATATCATTTTATTTTATAATAATTTAAATTTTTTATATGACAATGATATTAAATCACTGATTAATAAAAATTATTATTTTAAACAATTTAAAGAATAAAAAATTTTTATGTAATTTTTAATATTATTTTTATCTAATTTATTCTCATAAAAATTAACAATGTCTCAAAAAGTTGATCACTAAAAATTTTAAAAATTTAGTTTTTTTAATCACTTATTTAAAAAAAAATTTTGTTTTAAAATTATATTGACTAAAAAAAATAAATTTATTTAATAAAATTTTTAAAAATTATTTTTATCAAAATTGATTTATACTTTATAATTTTTTATAAAATAATATTTAATTATTTTATAAATTATTTATTTAATAAGTATTAAATATTTTTTTATAAAATTATTTTGGATGTTTTATATTATATAATTTATTTTTTCATATAATACTAAATAAAGCCAAAATTTTCAATAACAGTCGAAAATATCAAACAGAAGCTATAGAACCATCCAATTCTGAATCCTAAATGAAGCTAAAATTGTCGAATTATACTAAAGAGATTACCCTTAACAACTGATCGTCTGACATGATTTAAGAAAGTTGTAAATTAGGACAAATTAAATGCTGGGTTTTGCCAATCCCGGTTAGTTTATACATGCAGAATATTGAATATTTTACACGTTGCGGTTCTCAGGGTAGACTAAGAATATTTGATTAGAGAACAGCCAGATACAAGGATAAATGCCTGCAAATCATTTTTCTTCACATGCTCATCGATTCAAGAGACTTCATGACTCTCTGGCTTCACAAAACATTCCTTGTAACTACATTCTCGCCACTTCTAAGCATTGAGGTGGAATGTTACAAAGCTAACCTACATAATTCTGAATCGAGGAAGAGAGTAAAAACATACCATCATCTCTCTGCTGTCACTTTTTCCCCTATTCTGTATCGTTTCTAATCCCCATATGCCTTATATTGCATTCAAAATTCAGTGTATTGTATTTGTAATCAGTGAAGAAGTGGTTCGGTTGGTGAGCCAGGAGCATATGGCGCAAAACCTCTCCCACCAAACAGAGGACGCATGACACTATCATCAAACTTCCGCCAGTAGTAGTGGACAGTATTAGCCGGGGTAGTCAGGAGCATGCGTAGGCTGGTTGGACGAGGAATGTTGTTGCCACCCGTTTCATGATCTGCGGTTTGCCCGTTGGCAGTAAGTGGTGGGTCTGTCATCGGCTTATATGGAAAAGATTCAGAGGACGTGGTGCTGCTTAGGTGCTTGCTTGACAGAAGCAGCCTTATTAGAGGCTTTGTCATTAATCCAAACACCTGAAACAAAAAAAAAAAAAAAAATCAAAATCAAAATCAAAATTTTAAGTAACGAACATTACTGGTTAAATTTTATGCAATGTTATTTTGGAGCAATCTTCCAAAGATTTGGTAATAAACACAGCAAATTGCCAGGGGTAATTGTAGTTTTAGAGACAAGCAGGAGCCCAGAGTCATTACTAATTCAGCAGCTCAAAAACAGAATGTTATGCATAAATCCCTGAATAAAGTGGTAAGATATCAAATCTTTGCATGCGTTAGTGTAAGCATGGTTATTGACTTAATATCAAGGAAATAAAATGCTATTGAGGAAAATGTTTTAGAAGGAATCACAATAAATAGCGACATAAAATTTCCAAACTATCAAACCTTGAGAGAGGCGTAAGGTTGGAGAGAAACCCAGGCATTAGAACAACCCATTAATCAAGATAAAATTTTTGTTAACAATCTTATCATTACTGAGAAACAGTCCCAACTTAAGGATAAGTCCTTACCACAGTACTGAAAAGAACAACAGAGATGGTGCTGGTTATCATAATGGCATTTCCAAGCAATTGAGTACGCCCCGATCTAGTAAACTGCATATAAATCAAAAAATAACTTTCAACTTAGGAAGAAAGAATGAAAGTGAAAGAAAAATAATTAAACAAACTAGGTGGCTATGTTCCAATTATTTGATTCCATGCATTCAAATAGAAAAGGATGGAATCCTTTACACAGAAAAGAATGTCAGTATAACATGCCAAAGCAGATGCAATTGGCAATGACAGCAATAAATGCATAGGGGTTGCCCAACAACTGACAAATTTTTGGTACAGATTTCTCAATTTACAAAACAGCATGATGCAGCATTCCTCTTAACATGCATCATTATTTGGTCTGGCACTTAGATACCAAATTTAGCTATATTTTTGCCCTAACACTGTAGGCATTATCTCCTCTCACGAGGCATACAATTCAAGCCAATTCATGCTGAGAAGATGAAAGTTCTATCTTATTACTATCATCTTACACTGATGCCAAAGACACTGTTTGAAAAGATTTGTGTTCACCCACTTTTGGACAATAAAATCCATCAAACTGCAGAAGTTTTGATGTCATACATCCTATCACCTAAATTTACCTGATTATAAGCAAGTGCCACAGACACAGAACCTCGCATAAGCCCTGCCCACCATATTGTAACCTGTTTGACTTGAATATGTCAGAGCATCAAGTATGTCAGAGGGAAGGAAAACTCAAAACATAACTCTCAATACCAACCTGTTGGTTCAATGTAAATTTGTCACTCTGAGACCTTTTAATTAGATTGGATATAAAGGATAGAGGGAAAACAGAAGCCGCCCTTCCGAGTAGAACTAAACCAAGCAGTATTGAACTCACCCCAGCAGATGTTCCAGGACTACAAAAACAAACAAACTATCAAAATTAAAACCAGCTACTGGGAGGCATTGATTTGATATTCAAATTACAAACAAACACAATGATAACAGATGCACATACTATATTATACTATCTTTATCACGTGACATGATATATTGAATTTCTTGAGATGGTTAAAGACGACGATAAAAAGAGTCAATAAGTTAAAATTATATATGCAACAGCGTAAGACATGGCAAGACAAGTTCTAATGCAAATCCCCATTGGCCAAAAACATAGGCAGTACCTTTTGATAACAACTTGCCACTTCTCAATATCCAAAGCATCCATACCAACATACAGGAAGATAAAAATCTCTGATATGAAAGATAATGTTGCAAAAGCATGCCTGCAATGATCAATAGTCAGCACAAGAATGTCAAAACATGTGTATTTGGGTTTCACAAGGGGTAACTAAAGAGAAAAAAGAAAAGAGAAAGAAGAAAATTATAAACAGAAAAAAAATTTCAACATTTGGGAAGTAAATTTCAAATTAACATACTTGGTGGTGATTCTTGAACCTTCAGTCACATTATGCCAGGTGTAATGTGACATAACAATCCCACAAAAGAACACTGTAAGAATGCTGCTCAAATCGAACAACTGAAAAACAGAATACAATTGCTAACATTGTTATCAAGAAAACAGGGATATGACATGCAATGTAAAAGACAGTACCTGAAATATTACAAAGTTAGATCCTTAGGCACAAGAGTCATTAAAGAGAATACTTACTTCAGCCATCATATATGAAAGGTAAGCCATGAGAATCATGAGAGAAACTTCACGATCAGTAGAATGCCTGACATTTGATAGAACATTAGCTACTTAGTTTGAAATGAAAAGGAAATGTTATTCATATAGAGCCTTATGATTCTCATGCCATGCGGAAAGACAAGATGACAACAGCAAGCCATTGAGCAAGGACAGAGTGAGAACAACAGATTGTGATGAGAGTCCTAAAAGATAGCATTGTGGTAAGAATTCTTAGTTTTTGAGCCACCAAGAGCTCTGCCTAACATTGTAATAAAACAAGTATACCTAAATTTATCACCCATAAGTTAATAATCCATGACAAACAATCTATTATGTGAAAACCTAGATTGGTGACTTTGCCAATCAGTTCCCAATTCTAGACAATTGCTGACATCAATAAATTTGCAAACATTTGACAAGAAAAAAATTATCAGAGCTTGTCAAAGCCCTGAACAGAAAATGCCTACCAACAGAGTTGTGGACTCCAATCCACACAATGAAACACTCTAACATAGAACTGAACTAATACTACCAACTAAAAGTTGCAATCATTTTCATTTTTAACACAATGAAGTGATGAGCCACATAAACAGGGATAATAAAGTAACTCAAATTTCCATCATAAAAGATAAGACAACAAGAAAACTTAATCATTTGCCCGTGCCTGCCAATGTACAATTTCTTTATGATGTATGCACTTACTAATCCGACCTGCAAACGAAATTGATGTTATGTTAGATAATATAAAATAAATGCATGTTTCTAATCTCAAATAGCCTAAAAACCTTGGAAAAGGGATGGAATCAATATGTGAAGTTATTTATAATGAAAGAGAATGAAAGATACCACACAGCAGACTTAATAACGCAAAAAAAATTGCAATAAGGCAATAGCATACTCAATTTGTAATCAAAGCGCAAGTTTTCTTGGAGAAAAACAAAGGATAAGACCTCTTTATGGTTCAATTCAACATCAAGCAGAAAAGCCTAGAGTTTCTAAAAATAACTTAAAGCCAACAGCCAGTTTGTGATAATCTAAATATAAACAGCTCGTTGTGATGGTAATTGACACTATTTGTTTGAGTAAACCCTAATTATGTGTAATCACAGTTTAAGAGAAGAAAAAAAATAATATCTTCTAACAAGTCTAGATTGTATTGAACATTGACTTAATCATCTCTTAGGTCTTTCTTTGGAAAGACTAAAGTTAGAAATCTCCTTGACACAACCGCTTTTAATCCTTGTAAATAAATGGAAAATTTGCTGCACTTTTTTCAGTTAATTGACTGGTCATATAGGTCTGATACCAGTTTTAGCTTGATGTGTAAAGATTAGAAAGATGATTTTGTAATGTAACATTGAACTTAAAGTGTGAATTGAGCAAAACAAAGAATATAAGATCAAATGATGAAACAAATTTTGCAACCAGGAAAACGATAGGAAGACACATGCATGGAAAGATACAAAAAAGAGAAAGAAAGGACTCACCGCTACTCCTAGCAATGTGCTTGTAATAAAAAAGTATAAGAAGTTTCCCATGAATTCCATAAAAATGCTTGAGGTGATGTGAGAGAGGTCAAATTTCTGAATTGCATTAAAAAGTACAATTGATGTGGCATCATTTACCACACCTTCGCCAAAGACTATACTGTATAGAAGAGGCGTCTCATCCTGATTAAGAACCTGTACAGAAAATACAAGATTTATTACACAATGTTTGTTTAACTATTCTTTTCACTTTCATAAACCGAATAAATATGTATACCTGCAAAGTGCAAACAGAATCTGTGGCTGAAAAGATTGCTCCAAGTGCTAAAAGAAGAAAGTAATCTTAAGAGTCAAGATAGTCATACAGAACTCAAATGAAGCAACAAGTTTAATTAAATAATAACTGTGATGCCTCTAATAAACGTATAACAAATCATTATGAAAAGTAATCTCAGACCTGGTTTTATGAAAAGCATGTGTCTGTGTATGTATGTGTGTATGTGTGTGTGCATGTATTTTGCGTAAAATATCTCACCTCCTATGAGATGAAAAAGTACATGGAGTATACTAATTCCAAAGAAAAGATATTAAGAATCATTTGTTCCTCAGCTTCATATTGCACGCTACTTCAAAATGCAAAGATAAATAATCTGACCCCAAATTTAAATGGTATTTTCCTATACACAACTGTGTATCAGTTGAAAGTAAGCTTTTAACTAAGAAACATCAGCAAACTATTAATTAAAGATGTAGACATTACCAAGATAATCTCCAATGTCCAAGAAACCAATATCCAATTTCTTAAATAACTTCATGGTACCTGAGACGAGATAATTATAAAAGTTACAAAACTATTAGCCTCAAACACACTCTTGCCTCGTACTAATCAGGGAAAAGATAAATTGACAACCAAAAGGAAGTATTTACAATCGGTAGGAACTTGCAATAAATGCTGTCAATCTTTGTTTTGAACTAGTCCTCATTTCTGACAAACAGTGTGTCATGCTGAGATGCTGATTACAAATGTAAACGAGCAATTGAATTTATTGAGGCAGTTTCTATAATTAAAAAAAAAAAAAAAAAAAAACCCATTCATTTAATTGAACATTATCATATGAACACCTTGAGAGCATCAAATATTTTATATTCCTTGGGAAATCCTGACAATATAACCATAATGCAATATATCATTAAACAATGTGTATAAAAATGCCAGAGAAGTTAATCCTCAATTTCACTTAGAGGCTTGTTATACTTGTATGCTTTCGAGGTGAGCAACCTAAAGAACAAACTTCTAAGTTTTTCATAATCAACATATCTTGAAGATAATCCTCCCTTTTCTAAATGAAAAACATAGCCATCAAATCTAAGGTTTGATGCCACCTTTTAAGTAGTAGTAGTCAACATTTGGGGGACTAAAGCATAACAAGGTGCCTAGTCAGAAACAAACTTTGAATCCAAACCCTTGAACATATTATATATAAACAGTATGAATAGATGCATGCAAATACATTATACCTGCAACAAGCAAAAACAGTCAGTTGCATGAGGCTGAACAGGTCCACACATTGTTTTTATAGATGCATGAAATTGAACAAAAGTGGAGAAATTTTCTTCAAAACTAAAATATGTGAAAAAGTTTGGACATACCTATGGATATGATGACAAACGATATCAAGGTACCAACAGCACCAAACAAAATGATCGTCACGAAGTTATGGAAAAATTGCTTCTTTTTGACCTGGAATCTGGTGGATTAAAAAAAAACAGATTATAAAACACATCTTTACCACGATAAAAAGATGACAAGGGCAGGAGGAATTTCAATTTTCAAGAAAGACAGTAGCAAATAAAAGTGAATAAAAGTAAAACAAGCCTGACAATTAGTTTCCACACCCTGCAAGAATTTTGAACCTTACCCGGCATTGAATATGATAGGAGGAAGAAGATATATAAAGAAAAGCTCCTCATTAAATACTAGAAGGTGTGATCTCTGTCCTTCAGTGGTAAACAGAATAACAATACCAGTACAAAGACCCTGCAATCAATACCAAAATGACCACCGAACAAAAACCACTAATCTGCATTAATCCAGACCTAACATAATAGCAAGGTTAATTAAATAAGGAGTAATTTAAAGTTTGAACAACTCACAATGGCAAGCGCAATTATCGACTCATTAAACCATCGATTTTTCTCGAGAAGATGACCAAGTACAATGCAAGAGCAGAGGAGTGCAACAAATAAAGTAATAGAATCCACTGGAGCTTGGTCGGGCTCCAATGCCATCCCTGAATTCTGGGGAAGAACGAAGCCCCAATTAAATACCCCCAAATATCTGCCTCAGTTTAAATAATTCCACCGCTACAAACAAAAAGATTCAACACAGTTCTTCATTTATTAAAATTAATGATCATATCTCGTTAGAATAATAAATTAAAATACTAAAATAACTCTTCACTAACAAATTAAAGATAATACCAATAACAACCATTAATAATCATTTAGGTGCAGCAAATCATTATCATAAAATTAAGCGTTAAACCAAAGAAACTGCTAGATATTTCTGTTTGCTTGCCGTACAATTTTAAACTAAGGAAATTTTTTTAACCAAAAAAAATTTTGTAACGACTTTGAATGACACGGGGGAAAAATAGACTGAAGTCAATGCAACGATTTGACCAAAAATAACATTAAATTTTAAAAATATTCTTTTCTTTATTCTTTTCCGCTGCTTTCTCAGAAACCGAACAGGATAATGAATCAACACTGTAAATCACAGAATAAGCCTGGAAACAACAATTTGATCTAACTTTCTTACGCTACTTTCTCATTGCACTTTATATTTTAAAAAGAGATGGGTATTAAGAGAACTTAACGGCTAAGTATCGTTTACTTCTCTCAGCATCTAAACAAACAAAAGGAAAAGGAAAAAAACAAAAACAAGAAGTAACTTACCACGAAAATACTAAGAAACTTCGGCGAAAGCGAAAGAAATTAAAGAGGATCACTGTTTTTTTTTTTTTTTTTGGGTAAATGAAAAAGAGGGCTCTCAAACTAAAAATGAAGAATAACACGAAGCAGAGAATTAAGTAGGAAAGCACCTGAAGGGTGAGGATGCGAATGTTTCGTTTTATTGGGAAACGTTGCAAATACCTGCACGAGACGAATGAATTGATGGACTTTTAGAAGCTGTAGTTGCGGACACGTGAGGCGTTGGACTTCCCTTTATTTTCTACCGTACGATCTTCAGATCGAATATCATGAGGAATCGTGCAGAATTAAGGTTTTGATGTAAGAGCCTAGAGCATCTTGGTGTGGACTCTACGCTAACTTTTATTCTTTCCATACTTTAAAATTAATATATTCCTTTATAAAAAATTAAAAGTACTTATTTGGTTTGGGAGACAGCCAAAGGTCAACTTGGGGAATTATATTTTACTTACTTTGACCTTCTTGACTTTACCAACTTTCTTTTTTTTTTTTTTTTTTGCAACATGGGGAAAGTTAACATACTTTTTAAAAATAATTTTTTACATATTTATTAATAAAATATTATTTTTTTAATTTATATTCAAATAAAATTTTATTTAAAATCATTATTTGACTTTTGTTATAATAATGCCAATTGATTTTTTTTTTCCACATGGAAACTAATGTGGCTTAAAAAATTATTTTTTGAAACAAAATTTTAATACTTTTTTCTAAATTTTTAGTTTTATTCCCATCAACATCCACATCCTAAATAAATTTTATTTATTTATTTTAATTTAAAAATTTTATCTACATCATCAAATCACATCAATTTTCAAGTTGACAAAAAAATTTTAATTAGCATTCACTCTAATAAAAAAATCAAGTTTCCACATAAAATACAAGTTTATCTTGATATAAATAAAATATTAAAATTTTATTTAATATAATAAAAAATAAATACTTAATTATAAAACACAAATTTTAGGAAATTTTTTTTATTAATTTAGCCCCTTATTTCAAATTTGTTGAGTATGACATCCTCATTTATACAAGTAATTAATTTTTTGTATATAATATTGTTGACATATCAATCTAATTGAATGTTTATAGAAAACATTTGTTTATTTATCAATTTTTGGTTTAGCATATTCATGGTTTTACAGTCTTTCGGATCCTCAATATAAATAAAATGTTGTTAGAAAATATTTAAGTTCCATTTATTTAATATTTAATATTTTTATTTTATAAAAAAGTAAAAAAAAAATTAATTAATTAATTTAAACTAAACGTATGAGTATTTTATACTTACAGTAATAATTGTTACAGTGATTGGATGACTATTGAATGCTCACATAATTTAGACGGTTACCTTTTTGGTTAAAGACTTTAGTTTTTATAAATTTATATAAAATAAAATATATTACAATTATATATACTATCTTAAAAATTATTTTTTCATTATGCATCATTGGTGATTAAAATTAATTTTTATTGGCGATTTTATGAATTAAATACACTTATTGTCTAATGATTAACACTTGACTAATATTTTTAATTCGTTATTTATGAAATTGATGTTAACTAATTAATATTATTAAATCATTGAATTTTTCAAAACGCAAACATGTACAAAATTTTCTTTAAAAACAAACATGCAACCTACCAACGGATAAACCAAGGAATACAGAGTGTGAAATTGGAAGGCTTTTAAACTGAAGTAAGACGTGAGAACCCAAAGACCAAAACAAAGCCGGATCTAGGCGGCCTTAGGCTCAGGATCAGACGAAGGGGCAGTATTGGATAAGGAGCAGATGGGACCCATTCTCCCACTGGCATTATGGTCTAAGTCCCCTGACCGAAGCTCCACACGCCACCACACAAAAACCGCACCAAACCCGAAGCCTTAACTTTCTCCCCTCCTGCACCTGCAGGCTTCGACCCCCTATTTCTCTCTATCCTGGGAACTTAGATTTCATAGAACCCCATTCAAAACCCGGGATGTTCTTGTATGTGCTTTGATCTTTTTAAGGTTAGATAAATTGTTTCAATTTATATTATCTGTTAGTTTTATGGGTCTTGGTTGGTTAGGATAAGGGGAGAGATCTGGGGGAGTTTGTTTGAATATTGTTTTGTTAAGTTTGTTTTTTTTTTTTTTTTACGGCTGACTTTTGTTCAGTTACTAGATTTATCACTCGAAGGGTAAATTTTTGTATTATAGAGAAAATTCTAACCTTTTGGTGCTTAATGTTGTGTCTATATGCTATTTCTAGGTGCGAGTAATGGTAATCTGCGTTATTTTGGAGGGGAACTGATGATGATGGGGTGCTGGCTCACTTCAATTTTTGGATTTTTTTTCGATCTTATTTCACCTCTGCTTCTGGATCACGTTATTTAGTGCTTATTAGCTTATTTGTGTATGAAATTTGAGAGTTTTTGGAATGTGGGTTGATTCGACTTTTGGATGATATAACTGCACAATTCAATAATTAGTGTCTATTAGGTTATGCTTTTCTGTACAAGAGCTGCGATTTGGGAGGTTTTATGGCGTTTGGCGTAGAGAATTGGAAGAAAGTTGGATGTTTTCAGGTGCATTGTTGAGTTATTAGCAATTTTAGAGGTAAAGTGCATTGTTAAGTTATCATTGGAATTTTTAGGGTTAGGAGTAAGGAGGCCACCAATGTCGTTTAGGAGCATTATCCTGGACATGAAGGGGGAGTTGGGGAGTATATCCAGAAAAGGGTTTGATGTGAAGTTTGGATATGGCATGAGATCGAGGTCACACGGGGTAGTTCAGGATAGCTCGGTTCCAGTTGATGCGTTCAAGCAAAGTTGTTGGGCAACCATGCCGCCTGAGCTTTTGAGGGATGTGTTGATGAGAATAGAGGCATCGGAGAGCACTTGGCCTCCACGAAAGAATGTGGTTACTTGTGCTGGTGTATGTAAGAATTGGAGAGAGATTATGAAGGAAATTGTGAAAACCCCAGAAATTTCTGGCAAGTTGACATTCCCAATCTCATTGAAGCAGGTAGTAGATGTCATCCTGTACTTTTTTCTTTCCTTTTAAGTACATTTTATTTTTTATTTGATTGAATTGTTTTTGTTTGGTTATTATCAGTCTTTAAGCCATTCTGTTATACTCTGGCTTTGAATCTTTAGTTCTTCTTCATCTTTTTTATAAGTTTGATTGAAGTAAGAATATTTTAGTGGCAATCCCTTTTTTCTGTTATACGGTCTTTATATGCGTGGTGCTTTCATTAGTGATGGTTGGATGGTGCTCATAAATGATAAAAATTTTGGGTAATATTTGCCCTTCTGCCAGTTTGTTTGAGCTGAGATCTGTATTGCATTCTAGGACTGCCTCGTTATACTCTTTAGGAAGTTTAGGAATCTAAAGTTGGAGATATGTTGGGTAACATATCAGTATCCTGCTACATTACAACAAGTTTTCTTCTTAAGTTATTGCATCATGAATTTTAAATTCTAGTGATGAAACTGAGAATATGAAATTCTCCTTCATAATGTCCCAATTTTTCCAAACTGTTTGTGCTCGTGAGATGAATTGTGAACTTGAGGGTTCTTTGGAATTATAATTGCTTGAAAGGTATCGAAGTTAATATGGAGTAGACTATAAGCTCTCTGTTTGTACTTGGAACAGTATTTATTATTTCTTCAATTATCTGTGAATAAGTAATTGGAAGTTAGGACACATGTTCACAGTCTTTGGTTTTTCTTTTTTCCAGCCTGGTCCAAGGGACTCCCTCCTTCAGTGTTACATAAAACGGAATCGTAGCAACCAAACTTATTATCTTTACATTGGCTTGAATCAAGGTTAGCTGTTTTTGTTTATTTATTATTATTATTATTTTGTGCAGCATTAGGGAAGGGTTGGTGTCGTGAACTTTACTCTCAAGTCTCATGATAGTCACTTGTGCTGCTTGGTGCTGTTGTCTTCTGACAGAGGATTTTGCTTATTTTTGTTGATTGAATTAAAAATATTAAGGACATATTATGTAGCTAGATTCATAGAAAGTTAGTGGCTTAACTATTTAATAATTGTGTTGAGTACCTTGTTTCTCTTTGGGTATCTTTCTTATGTTTATATGTGAAACTGTTTTGCTTTATGTATTTTCTTGGCAGCCTCCAATGATGATGGAAAGTTCCTTCTTGCTGCAAGGAAGTGCCGCCGTCCTACCTGCACAGATTATATCATCTCACTGAATGGAGATGATGTGTCAAAAGGAAGCAGTGCCTACATTGGAAAATTGAGGTGTTGTCAGCTGGAATATGATTCGACTGATACATTACTCATTTTGGAAATCTAAACTTAACTTGACTTTCTTTAGAAATCTAAACTTAGCTTGATTTGCTTTAACAGATCAAACTTTTTGGGGACCAAATTCACAATCTATGATGCTCAGCCTCCAAATGCTGGAGCCAAAGTTATTAAAAGTCGCTCCACCCGGCCAATTAATGCAAAACAAGTTTCTCCTCGTGTCCCAGCTGGCAACTATCCTGTAGCCCACATCTCGTATGAGTTGAATGTCCTGGGTTCTAGGTAAGGTGTATGTTGAAAGTTGCTCTTTTTTCTCTCTTTGTATCTGGGGGTATTCATCATTCAGCTCCTCACTGGTTTTTGTATGCTCACCAAAATTAACATATTCTGGAAAATAGAGGTCCAAGGAGAATGCAGTGCATCATGGATGCCATCCCAGCCTCTTCTATTGAGCCTGGAGGTATTGCTCCCACACAGACTGAATTCCTACACAGTAATCTGGATACCTTCCCATCACTGCCATTCTTTAGATCAAAATCAACCCGCCCTGAGAGTTTCCAATCCAGACCTTTGTCTGGCCAGAAAGATGGAATGCTGGTATTAAGGAATAAGGCACCCAGGTGGCATGAACAACTCCAGTGCTGGTGTCTGAACTTCAATGGACGGGTGACAGTTGCTTCAGTCAAAAATTTTCAGCTGGTTGCATCTCTGGAGAGTGGAATTGCTGGGCAGGAGCATGAGATTGTCATTCTCCAGTTTGGAAAAGTGGGGAAAGATGTATTCACAATGGATTACCAGTATCCAATCTCAGCTTTTCAGGCATTTGCCATATGCCTTAGTAGCTTTGACACTAAGATTGCTTGTGAGTGATTTGCAAACAGGTATGAGTCTAACATAACTCTTGGACTTTTGACAACTTGAATCTCGATATAAGCATAATTTTTTTATTTTTCAACTTTGGGACAAATAGTTAAACCTGTTTTGCTAACTGTTGTTAGACTAAATTTCAACTTTGCTGTAATCTGTTGGTTTAATCCATATTTTAGGGTTTCCTTGTGCCCTGGAATTCTAGATTATGTGATTTAAACATCCAGATATTAGATATAATACCGTACTTATAGAATCTGTCTGCAATCATACCAAAAAGAAAAAAGCAACCGTCCTGTGAGTTTGTCAGCTGTAGAAGTGACTTGCCAATACTGCCTCTATTCACTTTCAATAAGCATATTAATCGTAATCCTGCATTTGCTTTTGGATCTCAAGTAGTTGAAGCCCCTGGTTTTGAACTGCAGTATTGTCAGATGCAAAATAGTTTGTTTGCAGGGTAATAGTCATTCTATGGACTTGGAATGTTCGGCTACAAGGTTTCTAGGTACTTCAGTGCTTTCGGGTTTCCATAGGAGCTGTTAGTATTTACCTTCTATTTAGTTCTTTGCTGTACATATAACTTTTTGTCTTAAGAGTGAGACATGACTGCTATGTTGGTTGCATGCTTTGCTAACATGCTTGTCTGTTTGATCATTGAGTGAGAAACTAGAAATCTGACTAATGGTTTCATGAATTTGTTAATGGGGTTCCCTGTTGGAGATTTTTGTGCATTTTAGATGTGCACTTTCTCATTTATCAAATTGTGCCTCCTAAATGTTAATCAGAAAGTCCTTTTAACAGTTTGGCATAATTGTTGATATTTACTTTTCAAGTTCTGGGTTAATCTTTTGCCTGTGCTGAAGGTAAATGGTTGCATGAAGTTAGCCTCCTCGAGTTTGGGACTTTTTTTTTTTTTTCTCTTTTATCGAAGGTGGATTTGGTTTGTCGTACACTTTATCATAGGACTATTTAATCCTGCAAATGAGAGATATATTTATCCTTTTGAATGTGAATTTTGTATAGAAGTTCATCCCTTTAGGAATTTGGCAATGGAGCTGCTTTAATATATACAAATTCATAGCCAATAACCCAATGCCAGGAGGATAAAAAGGAGACTAATTGGCTAAAAGTTATCTCAGCATCTCAATTTTCAAGGCAAAGTTGGACTGTCATAGAGTAAATTAAAGAAAAAAAAAAAGAAACAGAAAATAGAAGCTGATTATTTTGCCTGGACACTTTGGGGAGGGGGAGGGGGGGGGGGGGTTGCGGCGCAAGCTTCTGGGATTCCCCTCTAGCTTGCACGTATTACTCTCTAAGCTTCCATTTGGGTCCTCAAACTTTCTACTTGTGGAATTCCTTTACATACCCGCAAAGGGAAATTCATTCCTTAGTACACCCCAAACTCCAATCATAGACTCGTTTCGACAAAAAAAAAAAACTTTCCCAATTGAAATCAGCACCCCAAGTAATCAGCTCTCAGCATATATTAATGCTGATACAACCCCAGTTTGCATAGTAAAAGATGAAAATGGTATTGGAAACAACAACAAAATGGACAGCAGTGGAGAAAGAGTAAAACTAGATCATAGAGTTTATTGTAAGGCACAACACAACTAAAGCAGCAGCCAGCAGATGACTGCTGTTCGACAGACAAGAATTTGAAAATGAGGGAGGCCCTCCAGGGCAAGGAAGACCATGGCCTCGTGGTCCACCAAAGCAGTCCTGTCGTAGCCAACAACAGCAGACTGTAGAAGCTGCAATCCAAAACAATTTAAGTTCAGAAATTTTAGTTAAAAAGAATCAAAGGGCAGTTAACTATAAATGGGAGGAGAATGGAGAAAAATTGATTGCTTAGCAAGAAGATTTCATGTTGCACAAGCCATTAGCAAAGCCACCAAAGAAACCACCAGACCAAAAATCCAGGGCCGAAGGGATCTCCAGGCCCCTGACCCCAGCCAGGACCCCACCCACCAGGCCCTCCTCTTCCTCCTTTCCATCCAACAGGCCCCATTTTCTAGTCTGTCTTCACCACTTCCACCAACAGCAAGGGCCCCAGGGACCTCCAGGCCCCGGATCCCAGCCAGGATCCTACCACCAGGCCCTCCTAGTCCTCCTCTGCATTCACCAGGCCCCATTTTCTAGTCTGTCTTCACTACTTCCACCAACGGCAACCAGGCCCCATTTTCTAGTCTGTCTTCATCACTTCCACCAACAGCAAGATGTTACCAGAGAGAGAATTTCAATCTCAAAACGCAGGTATCTAAATAGGAAAATGAAATATCAAGTCCTGTCCTCTTCTTGAGATATTCGCAAAATTCATCGAACTAGTCTGGACACATTATGTAGGAATAGGAAGGGAGTTTACTCAAGGGGTAAGCTTTAAGCAACACTATACCATCGTATGTTAAGGATCAAGTGTCTGGACTCTCACAACAAGAAACCTACCAGTCTAATTATGTAACTAATATCTTTCATTGCCCCTTTATGTATCATTCAAAGCTACATCAACGTATATATATGAAAAAATCACACTTGTAGAGGGTCCGAAATTCCCTCATTTCAACAAGATTTAACCTGCCAATTATAAAACCTATTGATTCAAAACCCTTAGCAATTTGCCAATTTCTTCTTGTTGGTCTTCACACGGCTATGGAATCCTTTTAAAGTGAATGAATTGGTTCTACAGGGCTTGGTACCGTCAAATATTGTCAATTCCATCGGATTTTCAGTATATTAGCTTCCTTCACTTCCTTAGTCCTTTTTTTTTTCTTCTATGGGGAATTTTGGAATACAAGTCTTCATAGATTACGCCTTCTCCATGTTAATAAAGGGGGCAAAAACAAATCAATTAACAGAAAACAATAGCATCCCAAAATAATAATAAATAAATCTGATTTCTTTTTTTTGTCAAAAAATAAAAATAATTTTAGGGGAAAAGAAAAGGTTCAAATTAAAAGGATTAAAAAGAGAATAGAGAAGGGAATATATATATATATATATATATAATACTTAAGAAAAGCCTCAGATTAGCATTTTGGCACATTCATCAGCGCAAACAACAACCCATGCAGAAGGATCTACTTCTACACGGTGCGCTTTTTTTGTTGTTGCAGCTCTGCCTCATTTCTTCTCGTCATCAGCTTTTTTTCTTAATAAAATACTACTTACTGAGAACTTCTAAAAAAAATCATTTCTTCAAATAGAAAAAGAAACAAACCAATAAAATCATCGCCCAAAGATTTCAACTTGGCAAAAACTAAAACTCAGCCAAGAGAGAATCGATCACAGCTACAACACGAAGATTTAAGTTTCGGCTGCCATTAGCGAGGATGAAGAAATCAAAAGCGAGCATATATAGGGAGATCGGGTTAGGGTTTGGTTTATACCATACGGGCTCTTATTGGCCCGCCCAATTTGATTATTAATGCCTTCCAGGCTCAATTGGGCTTTCAAGCAGTTGGGTCATTTTTGTACATTAACCATCTCAGACCCACTGTTATTTAAAATTGTCGTGCAGCTCCTGCACAGCGAGCGCTGTGCCAGTGACAGTGCCTCTTTCATCATGCTCACATGATTATACAAAACTAATTTTCGTATACCAAAAACCAATCCTGGAAGTCCCACTGTGCTTGAACATTGACACTGAAAGGCCAGAAACTCCCAACCATTTTCAATATACATATTTTTTTTCAGGCGTTTTGCTTGCCTGCCCTGTAATTTTAGAAACTCTACTGATAAAAGGAAATGATAAAAAAGTACAAATTCTACTATTATAGCCAGAAAATTTTGCTGTTTATTAGTAGAAGATTTGGCCCCTTGCATGAGGATTTAATTGCTCAAAAATGCTTTGATAAATGACACCATGAAGCCACCGGGTTCTAGTCTATGGGGCATCAAAGGTCTCTCATCTCTCATTTCCTCATCACCATTGACTCTCAATGCCGAAGTGACCCTACTGCTTAAAACTGGGTTCTTCTCAATGTTTAACGCTAGCTCTACCAAATGCATTGCTCCCTCTTCTTTTTCTTTTTTCCTAAGTTGAATCACAAATTACTTAGCAATGGTTGAAAAAAATTCAATGATAGTAAATTTCTCTATTAAGAATTAGGAAATGACATGAGAGATGGGGGTAAAAGTTGTTCAAAGAACATCATTTTTGTTCTTCTACTTGGATTATAAACATGTAATAGATAAAAGTTAACAGTAAAGAATAAAAACTGTCCTGAGGCTGAACCAAAATGGGCCACTTTCTCGGACATCAATATCAGAGCATCGTAAATGGAAAAATAAAGAAACCATCATATCAACGACGAAAATAGGGGTGACCCATAGGCTTGATCCTTGGAGAAGTGGTCCAAACTTAGGGGAACCCGGCCGAAAGTAGCTTAATCACTGAATTGGTTTGATTGGGACTCGGAAGGCTCGACAATCAGGACCACTAAAATTTAGCCATTAATTGACCCCCCCCCCCCCCCCAAGAAGAGAAGAAGGTGGGTAAGGCCCATGATAAAAACTGCTCGTATCCTGGAGATGGAAATGATAACTCAAAGCTAACATTTGGTGTGAGGGTTCACCAACTGATGGTCCCATAGATTGTGGCAAATAATAATGCTATCCATTAGCAACATTTGCACTCCACGTTAGATGGGAGAAGATATATGATCATTTATGGCCCAAATCTAGTTCTTTTAATTCATGAAATCGGAAGTCACCGAGGAAGTTGGCAATTTTGGTTGCAACACATTGATAAATAAATAAATAAACAAAATAAAATATATTTTTTAAAATTATGTCAATTAGTGGAAAATATATATAATGTGAATTTTATTTTGGTGGATGATTAAAATATTCCAGGTTCAAACAGTAATATGCTTCAAAGTCCAATCATATACTATCTCTTATAAGACACATTGACAACGGTTATTGATTGCCATATAAGACAACACCACAGAATTTTCCAGCAAATTTTGACTGCCTGCCGGTTTATTCTTTTCTCTTTTTATCTTGGTGGTTGCTTAACCAAATGAAATTGCCCCAACCTCAAGCATGCTGAAGCTAAAGTTGTCATCTAGTAGTCAAAGCTTGTAAATAACTTTCGTATAGTCTGTCACCAGAACAATGAGAACATGATATGTTGCTACTTTTTCGTGCTAAGCCAAGGACTAAAAATTAAGAAAGATAATGACTGATTCTACACTTTGTTGGTGATAATTTAACGTGTCTCAAAACTTTGAGGATACGTTTAATATATAAAATTATAATAAAATAAAATAAGATAATATTATAAATAAAATTAAATTAAATAATATTATCTTATTTTATATTTAATGTGTCTAAAAATTAGAATATGATAATTTATTTATTGATAAAAATTATTTTTTTAATTTATACAATTAAAATTATTAATATAATTTTTAAAGGTATAATAAAATATGTAAGTTTAATCTCATAAATTTAAAAATAATTATTTCAATTTTGAGATAATTAAATTATTTTATATCAAATGAACGATCAATTCTTCTTGTAATTCAATCATTTTTCATATATAAACTAAATATAATATATAATGATTATCATTCTATCATATTTATCATTTTATCCACGTAACATTACCTTAAATCTGAAGCGATTTAAAATATTGAAATTGATGTTTTTTCTTTCTTCTCTATCATGGATTTGAATCCTTTATGCACTCTTACTTTTTTTTTATTTTTTGAAAAAGAATAATATGGACTCTTTAGTATCATATTCCTACATTTAAATCAAATAAAATGCTCACATAAGTACCCGTATTATTATATGTAACTTAACTCATATTAAAAAATAATTTATTTTACTTACCTGAAAACATTAATTC